ATACCCCGCCAACCCCCGTGCCACGACCCTCCCAACCCTCCAAACCCCTATTCCCCGACCCTCCCTATCCCCCATACCCCGCCAACCCCCGTGCCCCGACCCTCCCGACCCTCCCGACCCTCCCAACCCCGTTCCCCGACCCTCCCTATCCCCCATACCCCGCCAACCCCAGTGCCCCGACCCCTCCCAACCCTCCCAACCCCTATTCCCCGACCCTCCCTAACCCCCATACCCCGCCAACTCCCGTGCCACGACCCTCCCAACCCTTCCAGCCCCAATTCCCCGACCCTCCCTATCCATACACACCTTGTAGCGATGTATGACGTACGTCCCTCGACTCGAAAAGCTCCAGGCCACGCTCTGGAGGGTAGTGGGTGCAGTCGGAGGCCAAGGACAACGTTAGGCTAAGCTTCAAATATGCATGTTCTAATGCACTGTTTTTAGCACTCATCTGGGGCGTTGCTTCGCTGCAATAGCCCATTCTTTCCCCCCGTGTGTACTCCCTAAAACCCTAAAACCCTAAAACCCTAAAACCCTAAAACCCTAAAACCCAAAACCCAAAACCCTACAGGAAACCACCCTTCCCGTGTTGCCCCAAAATTTCTCACTAACGCAATCTGTTACGATTTCTGACATGTTAAATCACATGCTGGACGGGGCAGTTTTCAATACCACAGGCCCTTTCTACGTCTCCCACAAGCCCATCTACCCAAACCATGCGCACTCCTTCCGCTTGCCCTTTATACATGAACTATGATCCGCGAAATTTTGTTGATGCCACAACATGTCGTTGCAAGATTGTGCTGAGGTGCCCATGATGTGCTGCTGTGGGTTGCTGCAGGCTTAGCGATTTGATTGCACCTACGACTCCCTGCATGGTCCGAAGCTCTCAAAAGCCCCCTAAAAGAACTAGTGAATCCTTATCCCAAATCCCATCACTATGGCGAGCGAACGCGCAGGTTAGGCGCGCAGCTAAGATGGCAATGCTTGTGCTGAGATGCTGCTGTCTAGCTGCATGCGTTGAAACGAACACATAACTTACGCACCGTTTATTCGGATAAAACTTGTCCTCAAAAGCTGGCAGAGCCGCCGCCAGCCAAAGCGCAGGCGTTGTCTACGACCACATATGAAGCAGCAGCGCGGCGCCCCCGTAAGCAAATCAAAGAAATACCATAATACCTGCAAATCATGCGTTTAAGCTGTTATGTTACTCAGAGCAGCGCTGATGATGCTTTTCAGGCTGCGCACAACTTAAAGCATATGCTTACCCACGATAAGTTCCCCTATATGGCTTCCAAGTAGACGCAAAATATATATTTAGTTGTACCCACAAACATGAACGCGCATATGCACGTATGCCCCAACAACTATGGCAGTTGGATCCTTAATCTTCGCTGCAAACCGTACATGTCAGCTGCTTATATTTGCGAGGCGGTCAGCACCCTCCAGCAATAAGCATTGTTCCACATTTAAAATTTCGTGTACATTGCCACATTGTTGTGTGCGGTCTCATGTCCGAAATTTTTTGCGAACGTATGAAAACCATCGAATGTCTGGTTGTATGCGGCAGTCTCTCCGCCTTCGGTGAGATACCCGCACACGCCTCATTTTAGGTTGCAAAGGTGAGTCTGGTCCCATGCTGCCTTGCAGGCACTTCGTGCGGTGTGTGTCGCTTTTTTTGGATGCATGGCCTGCCAACAACATCAGCAAAAGCACCCACAAACACCCACACCCACGGAGTGCACGGCTTATAAGCCATTGCAAAAGGACATGGACAATGCGACTTATGTTTGAATGTATGACGCGCTTACATGCACACCGTGCACACCCCACAGTTTTTGTGTACCGTGCCCCCTTTCCTTCTTTCGACACGGACGTTGCACACTCCCAAATGGTTTTTGTCGACTACTCGTACTACTAGCAAAAGGTAAGCCATTTTTTGGTGCAATTTTCTGGGACAGTGCATATTGCCCAGCG